AGAAGAAGAAGTAGAAGAAGAAGCTGCTTCTGCTGGCCGTGCGGCGACTTTTGTTGTTTGTGGTGCGCCTGTTCTCGCCGTTTCGGCTGTTTTCCACCTCCTGAAGAAGAAGAGTGTGAACTACTGCTCTCTGAGGCAACATTGTTGCGGCAGGTATTTCTGCTGCTGCTGTTGCCGTCTTGGACCGCCAGCTGTGTGCAGTCGTCAAGCAGTCTGCGGCAGTCCACCACTGCAGTGCAGCTTTTCATATTTCACTGCCAGTGGCAGGCACTCTGCTCTGGTCAACCCTACGCACTGATAGATTCAAGGGGAGATAGCAAAGAAGAGAGAAAGAGAGTCTTGAAAACGAAGACGAGGTGAGAGTGAGAGAGAGTAGAGTGAGGCCAAAGCGGCAGGCGGCTTGTGTGTGCGCGCGCGAAACACGACACCCTCCGCGTCAGAATATCGAATTGAGTGATCTCATCATCATCATCATCATTCTCTCTCAGCTGCCCGGCGGCATACCTTTCTTTTCTTTTTTCATCATCTTCTTCTTCATCACCATCCCCCCTGGTCCTCGTCTTTCACTTTCACAACAGCCAACTGACAATCATCTGGAGCAGCCAGACAGCCAGCCAGCAGGCTGACAGCCGCCAATGCAACTTTCGCCTTCCCAAAGTTTCAACTTCTTTCATCCATCCCATCTCATCTCATGAGCTTCGATGTAATTGGATGCCTTTTAAAATTCCTCTAATTGAATGAAATTCGATTGTTTACACCATCATCATAATGGAGGAAATTCTTCCAGCTAAACAGTCTTCCATTAGCGATTGACTCCATTCGACTAAACAATTTGCCCCCTTCTTTTCTTCTTTGCTCTTTCTCCGTTTATCCTTCTTCTTGTACTTTGCTCAAACACTGTACTTGCATTTCATCGTCAGTTTTCAGTTGCCACAATGCTCAGCTGTCATAAGGTCGTCTTCATATCGGCTAGTTTTGTGATTCTGTTCATCAGCTGTGCCGACGCAGAGGCACTGGCGAACTGCTGGGCACAGCAGTCCAATATCAATGAGAATGACTTCGTGTTAGAGTGTACAGAGGACGGCAACTTTAAGGTTAGTGCTTCTTGGCAATCCTTTTGTCTACTTTGAAGTAGCTGTTTATAATGAAATATTTTTCCCCATACACTTTACTCACTGTAGCCTCTTCAGTGCGACAAGAAGACAGGCTACTGCTTCTGCGTTAATGAGCACACGGGAAAGCCAAACTTCGGCTCGATGGTAAGGCCGATGATGACGAGCAATGATGTACAAACTACTCACATTAATCCTCTGCACACACTAGGCCCGTCCAATAAACCACATGCTAGACTGCAACAAGCAGGCGTCCAGTTCAAGTGGTCGAGAGCGCAACTACCGCCGCAGACGGCCAAAGGAGTCGCCCAAATCAAGAGGCTCAAGGGGCGACCGGTGCAATCCCTCACAGCGAATCTCGCAGATAAACTTTCTCATCAGTAGCTTCAAAATGGAGCAAGACATTGTCACCAACCAACAGACTAAGGTCTCCAAGGTGACCACTTCGGCGCCGAGCAGAGCCACCGACTGGAGCCATCCTATCATTGGCATCCGCCGAACGCGACAGTCTTCCCCTTATTCTTCTTCTTTGGCGGCCTCAAGCCCAGTTGAGTGGAAGTTTGGCAGGCTGGACAAAGACGGCAGCTACCGCCTCAGCTCGGAANAGAGGCTCAAGGGGCGACCGGTGCAATCCCTCACAGCGAATCTCGCAGATCAACTTTCTCATTAGTAGCTTCAAACTGGAGCAAGACATTGTCACCAACCAACAGACTAAGGTCTCCAAGGTGACCACTTCGGCGCCGAGCAGAGCCACCGACTGGAGCCATCCTATCATTGGCATCCGCCGAACGCGACAGTCTTCCCCTTATTCTTCTTCTTTGGCGGCCTCAAGCCCAGTTGAGTGGAAGTTTGGCAGGCTGGACAAAGACGGCAGCTACCGCCTCAGCTCGGAAGAGTTTCTCCCGTTGGTGGACCTTTCCCGGGAGAAGATGAAGTCCCTGATCGGCTGCGCCAACTCACTTCNATCATTGGCATCCGCCGAACGCGACAGTCTTCCCCTTATCCTTCTTCTTCTTTGGCGGCCTCAAGCCCGGTGGAGTGGAAGTTTGGCAGGCTGGACAAAGACGGCAGCTACCGCCTCAGCTCGGAGGAGTTTCTCCCGTTGGTGGACCTTTCCCGGGAGAAGATGAAGTCCCTGATCGGCTGCGCCAACTCACTTCTTCTCTACTGTGACACGAACAAGGACTCATCGGTAGATTCAGGCGAGTTTTCCTACTGTTTCAATACGGCCAATGCAGTTCAGCTGCAGAACCTGCTGAAAAATGCACGTATGAAAAATCCCCGAAAAGACACAAAGTTTCAACAGGTGAGAACTGCTACTGCTTTAACATTGTTGACATTTATTATAACAGTCATTTCTACCACAACGCCACCAGCCTCAGCCACTGCCGATGATGACACAGGCCAAACAGCACAGCTATCCATCGGCAATGGCACCACCACCACCACCACCAACATCGGCGACAATAGTGCAGATGCCCTCCACAGCGTCCCCCTCATCATCTTCGCCAATATCGTACTCCTCCATTCTCTTGCAAAATCCCGTCAACTCGCAGCAGCAAAAGGGCAACTCGACTCAGTCTCGCCTGGATTGCAACGCCACCCGAGACAACCTAATGGAGACGGCGGCACTGAGCGGCACTGGCCAACAGCGACAGCGCCAGCGAACGGGCACCTTCATTCCGAAGTGCACCGCCGACGGCTACTACGAACAGGTGCAGTGCATGCCTGATCTGCAGTTCTGCTGGTGCGTCAACCGAGTCACCGGACAGACGATCAAGTCCATTAAGGTCAGTTCAGATCACTTCCTTTTGAATTTCTGCTGTAACAAATGAAAGTTCTTCTCTCCTCTTTCTGTAGACCAACTCTTCGCAGACGCCCTCACTCACCTCCTGCGAGGGCATTCGCCAGGGAAAGGGCTGTGACCAGCGTCGACGCGTCAAGTTTCACAATGAGCTGCGCCTGTTACTCCTCCGCGAAAATCTCTCCTGTGACCTCGTCTTTCCGCACATCGACACCAGCCGTGATCTGGCGATCAGTGCTGCCGAGTGGAAGACCTTCAAGAAGGCTCGCCGCCAGACGATCAACTCTCGCCTTCGCAAGTGCTTTCGCACCGAGGTGGCGTACTGTGATCAGAACGGCGACCAGATGATCAGTCACAGTGAGTGGCTGAAGTGCTGCAACAACAAGCTCAACCACAGCTTCACAGAGAGTCCACCAGCCGGCACAAGCTCAGGCTCAAGCTCCGGACCTAGTCTAATGCGAGGCTCAATGGGCGCCGCCAGGGAGCAGCAGTCGGTTCCGATCAATCGGAACACTCCCCTGCTTCCTTCCGGGGATAGGATGAAAACGAAGCCAAAGGGGAAAAATCCGTTTACGGGCATTCTCAGGCCGTAAACTTTTTTAGCTATTTTGTAAAGAAAAACTGAAATCAAACATGTAAACTCCGGTGTTATTTTTCAAGTGTAATTAAAAATATTTTTCTATTCTCATGTGCCATTTTTGTACTTTTATGTATATTTTTTCTGTAATAAAGTTTAAAGATTTATATACTTGGTTCTTTCAAAGTTAATGGATGCATGCTAAGCTCACTAAAAAAGAACGATTAGTAACAAAATCGGGTGATGTGCACACTGATGGTGTTTGTTCAGCATTGCTGTGCATTGATTAGATAAGGACTCCAATTGCAATTGCGCACCAACGCGCACTTCAGTGTTATTTTTTCCAACTGTCATTTGTTTGTCCTCTCTGTGTGCTCAATCAATCAAACATAGCAGGAAGAAGAAAGCAGCACCAAAATGGCCACCTACAAGCGTCTGCAAGTGGTGAAAAAGGTGAGCAACTTTGCCGAAGCCACCGAACTTCTAGAGTACCCGCTGGTAGAGCCGAAGGCAAATGAAATCCGTGTTAAGGTTATCTACACGGGCGTCAATTTGACTGATATTAACATCTGCGCGGGTCGCTTTTTTGTCTCCGGTGATCTGCCTTACGATTTGGGATTCGAAGTAAGAATTTGAATGCACTGAGTAGAACTGTTCAACATGCTAAACATGAACCCTTTTTTCGCCTCCTCAGCCCATTGGCATTGTTGACCGCATTGGCTCATCGGTCAAAACCGAACTTGCGCTTGGCTCGCCCGTTTTGGTGACTGATCCGACTCGTTTTGATGGCTTTGCAGAGTACGTCTACAAGACAACGGACTATCTGGTGCCGCTGCCTGATTTGCGGCCTGAGTACCTCGTTTCCTATGGCTCCGGGCTGACTGCCTCCATTGGCATTGACATCGCCGGCCGTGTGAAGCCAGGCGACAAGGTGCTCATAGTGGCGGCAGCAGGCGGCACCGGGCAGATTGCCGTACAGTGGGCCAAGTACCGCGGCGCCTATGTCATCGGGACTACCTCCAGTGAGGAGAAGGCCGCCTACCTGAAGAGCATCGGCGTCAACTGCGTCATCAACTACAAACAGGTCGACCTCGATCAGACCCTGACGGAAAAGTTTCC